AGGGGGTGGGGGTGTATAAGGACTGAGATGTATAGAGAAGGGCATGCGCAGGAGAGCGAGTCTCTCTCTCTCTCTCTCTCTCTCTCTCTCTCTCTCTCTGAGTGTGTGTATGCGTGTGTGCTCGCGCGCGTGCGTGTGTGTGTGTGTGTGTGTGTGTGTGTGTGTGTGTGTGTGCATGCGTGAGAGAGAGAGAGACAGACAGAGAGAAACAGATGGAGACCGATAGAGACAGAAAGAAGGGAAGAGGAGAGAGGTGGTGAGGGAGATGAAGCACAGGGTACGATACCCGGCCGTAGATATAAATTATGCACGGCCCATGTCTCATCTCGTGTTGTCGATCCCGTGAGCGACCGTCACAGAGTTGGCCTGCACGTGACGGTCGCATCAACGACAGACCCCGGTGACCCCCACGCGATAACGGTATCGGGCCCTGGCTGATGGCCAGATCGGTTCTTTGTGGGTGGTTGGCGGATGCACCTTTGGGGTTTGCTCCTTCATCCCTATCAACCTTACCTCTCTCCTCCTTCCCTTTCCAACTTCTATCGTCCTGATCTCTCCTCCTTTTTTGTGTACGCTACTCTCTTGTAACAGTGGGTTGTTGGCGGGTGCTCTGGTGTGGTTAGCTTCTTCTTTCCTTTCAAACATCTATCGTCATTATCTCACCTCCTCCTTTTCTGGTTTGTTACTCTTGTAACACCTCTAATCTTCGGCACTTATATGGCCTTATTGTGTTGCAAGTGCCGTAAAACTCTTACTTAAACTAAAATCTATTCTTCGGCACTTATATGACCTTCTTGTGTTGCAAGAGCCGTAAAATTCTTTCTGAAATTGAAATCTACAAAAAAGCTACAAGCCAGTGGTGCCCATTGACCAGATCGGATGGGTTGAGTTTGATCGTTGGGGCGGGGACAGGCCAGTTTGTCACAATTTCATTCAAGTATTTGGTATTGATGACAGTCATAATTACAGCACTTTAACACTGTAGTTGTAACTTAAGTTTTTTAAATCTCCACCTTCAAATTGGTTTTGTAAAGATTGTGCCTCTTAAATATCGATTCAGCTTGTGTTGTTCAATATTTCTTCCTTTTTGTATGCAAATCAAAGCAAATTACTCTGTAAAATTTTAACTATGAATGTTCTTTCGTTAAAAACAGTTGAAAAGTAAAATTCAATTCATAAAATCAATCAATCAATCACTCATTGACTCTTTTTGAGAGTGTCAGTGATAACTTCCATCATGCAGGGCACAGTCGAGGCTGGGCCTGTGACAAACTGACATGCTTCCGTCGGGGCTATAGCTTGTTCACTTTCGTCGGACATTGTGAAAAGCATTCTAGGCTAGGCTGGCTCATTGGGGGATTCACCCATGCCCAAGAAACTTTACATGACACTTCTGCAGGCCAACGACCAAACAAAAATGTTTTTAGAAAAAAAATCTTGACCCAGCAATAAAAAAAGTTTTATTTTCGGGGGCTATATTAAAAACTGTTTTGTTGTTCACACAGGAGCACAAAAATAAATGATTTAAAGTAATCTTGCAGCCAAATTGTTCATTTTGAGACAGCGACCCTGCCCTGCCCCCACATTTCAGTGTAAGCCTGTCGTGTAGATTTCCCCGGCTGTCTAGACGTCTGCTTCTTGGAGGCAGGTGTTTATTTCACTACGTCAGAACTGTTCGCTTTTGAGGACAAGCGACCCCCCCCCCCCCAGGCCAGTGCTACTGACTAAAGTGTCTTCATTCCTTTCCCAAAAGGGGGCCATTAACCTATTCTAATGCAGGGGGCTGCCCAGTTTGTCACAAGCCCAGTTTGTCACAAGCCCAGTTGGTCACAATTTCATTTAAGTATAATTTGAGTATTTTTTAAATTTTAGTAGAGGGTTTTACGGCGCTTTTGGTGACAGTCATAATTACAGCACTTTTGACACTGTCGTCGCAACTTAAGTTTTTTAATTCTCCACCTTCAAATTGGCGGTGTAGAGATAGTCCCTCTAAAATGTCAATTCAGCTTGTGTTGTTCAATATTTCTTCCTTTTTGTATGCAAGTCAAAGCAAGTGTAAATTACTCTGTACAATTTCAACAATGAATGTTCTTTCGTTACAAACAATCGAAAAATAAAATTCAATTCATACAATCAATCAATCATTCATTTACTCTTTTTGAAAATGTCTGTGATAACTTCCATAATGCAGGGCACAGTCGAGGCCTTTTACCAACTGGCATGCTTCCCTTATGCACAGTAGAATTGTAAATGGGCTGATTCATCGATGCCATGCTCATAACTGTGCCTGACGTGCAACGGGGAACTGCTGCTTTTTCTTTCCTAACCCTTACTTTGGTCTTTTTTTCGTCTACTTCTTTTTTATGTTTGTCACTCTTGTCAATTGCTATTTCCGGGGTGCCTTGATAGTAGAAGCAGACTTTGTGCTGTTGAAGCTAGAGAGGTGAGCAGAGTAAGTCTGATTTCCTGTAAGGACGTCTCTGTTGACATCCAACCCTTCGCGCTCATATGACCTTATGCAGTTGCGAGCGCCGAACAACCTCTACTAAAACAAAAAAAGAATAAGCGGGCTAACCCAGATTTCGGGCGTTTCAGAAATCTTGACCAACACCAAAAGTGGGCATTGCCCTACCTATAGGAGAAGTTTGGTTTCTTTGGTGTGGTGTTTATATTTGTTTGGTTATAGAGAAAACTCCTTGTCTTTTAAAGAAACCGAACAAGGGGCAATAATTTCGATTTTCTCAAGACTGCTTTTATGGGGATAGCCCCCGTGTGCTTAAAAACGACAAATTACAAAGTTCTGACATTTTGGGTGGTTTTGAGTTACTTAAAGCATTCGGTCAGAAAGCCAACGTTCGTAAGAATGCTCGGAGTCGTTATCAAGATATTCAAAGAATGGTGTTCGAAAAAGTTTGAGATATTTTGAAACTCGA